CACTTCTCCTGTACTGCTTGCTAACTGCCTCCTTACCATTTCGTCTGCCGACATCCACCCACCCAAACTCCATTTTCTCAAACACAGGTCTTTCTCATGCTCAGATATCACAGTTCCTCTCTCTCTTGATGATAGGTGAGAAGACTCGAGTTTATGAACAAAACTCTCAGGTTACTCAAAATGTCTTCTGATTTGCCCTTAAAAAAAAGTAAAGCAAATTTACATTCTCCAGAGTATGTATACATTTAGTATGTTAAATGTCTTCAATTATAAAATACCTTTTTCATTTAGTTTTTCAAGTTAACTAGCAAAATCGATGTGCCAAGAAATTTTATGGCATTTTTCTAGGGATTTCCCATATTCCCTGGTACATGGCAGAGAAGCCCTATTTTTGATGATGATTTCCTCTATGCACACTCTAGGCATACCTCTGAAGACAATTAACCTCCTCCTTACTTTTGTACTTCCCTCCTCTTGGAAGGTCCTGGGTCCACCTCAAATTCTACAGAAGCTACTTTCATTCCCCAACAGGCCTCAACTCCATTATTATGCCAATCAATGCTGGCCTCACACTGTTCGGACTTATAAGCACATGTGACAAATAGGGTTTAAAAAAGCAAAGTTTTGGAATCAAAGAAACTCCAGTCAGCATCTAACATGAAATCTTGGGCAAGATGCCTGAGATCACAAAGCATGCACTTTTCCATGTCTTGTGTGAAAGTAATGCCCTGACAGGTTTCCTCTCAGATCTGAACACACTGGCTGACGCACAGGAAGCAGTAGCACAGTGTGGAACCTAGTAATAGTTTAGTCACTGCACCTGTTACTCCCCAGCCCATGCACCTCTGAGTTCCCAATGGGCAGACTCGTCCTACCCTTGTTTGTATTGGTTCATATTCCTAATTTGCTATTTCTTGCAAATATTTAATAGTTGGGTTGATAAAACATCAAATTAAAAAAAAAAATCTCCTAGTTAGTTCCTATCTTGGTCCAAACTCTAATGAATATAAAAAGTACCTTTTTAATCATTATTAGTTGCTAATTTTAACATTCACTTCATCAACCTATACTTTAATTACTATATGGATAAGTATGTATTGCATCCATAACTCTAAAAACATTCATATCATAATAATATAACTACCCAGTATCCAAAATGATTCATACTACTCAGGAGTCTAAACTAACTTAAGAACATTAGCAGTAACCAGCCACAAATTAAGCCTTCAGCAAATTATCTCTAAATTTATCCTTTTTGTAAGTAAGCTAAATCTTAAACCCTCATTTCCAAATAGCACTTCTGAGTCCTCCTGTGCTATAAGATCCCCTATGTTACAAGTGCCCAATGGGATTTCTGAGTCTTAAAAAGACTAGGGAAGAATGGGATGTTTTCAAACAAACTTACAACGAATGTTAAACATGCAAAAAAAGATGAAAATCAAATAGATACAAGCAGGTTCTTTAGGTCTGTGGCTGACAATACAGTGTAAACACAGCAATGGCCAAAGACTGGAGAAGAAAAACAGCAGGAGGGCATCAAAAGAAGGTTCTGGAAAACACACTTTGCCGTCACAGTGTAAACACCAGCACAGGCATGACTCAACGTGGCATAAGTACAGCACACTCCAGCCAACCGGTCACTTAAAAATGACATTAATGAGGCAGTGTCTGCTGGATAAGTCTTAGGAATGCAAGGTGAGTGACAATTAAAAGCTCAGATTAATATTTTTCCAATGACAGCCTGAAAAATTCCCAACTAAATTAGTGAAAGCCCCACAGCATAGCATTTTTAACACTTCTGGATAAAGTGGCCCTTCGAAATGGTATTATTCTTTGAACTAAGAGGTTCTGTTGAGATTTTAATACACCTAAAAGACACATCTTAAATTTTTCATTTTATATTCCTATAAATGAAGTGATAAAATCTTTGTTTAAGCACTAAAGAATGTTACTGTAATTCATTTAAAAAAAACTGTGGTGTATTTTAAAGCTAATGTTGATTGATTAAAAATTCTGAAACAATTAGCTGTGTGTGTATGAAAAAGTATTCAGTTATCCTACATATTTCCCGTAATTGTATTCTGTGCACACTACATACATAAACATGCAGAGAAAGAGAGTAAGGGAGAAAGCACACCCATGCACTTTTGCCCTTCCATGGTTTTTCAGAAACCATTACTTCAATATCTCAATGAGCTCAACCACTCCTCACTTGCAGCCATTGATGCATATAATGTTAAACAAAAAAGCTTTTCAAAACTACTGATTTCGAATAGAATCCGCCAGCTTCCAGTCATCAATCCTTAATGTGAATTAAATTTCAATCATTTGAAGCACATTTTAAATTAATATATATGCACACATGCAATTTAATTTGTACTATGTGATATAAATATTGGCTCTATGTTATTAAAACATTTAAGACAATGGATCTATTTATTTTGATGGTGTCACTGCCTATCTCTGCAAGAATAATTTTTTGTTCAAAACTAAGAACAAGCCAGACTTAAAGATAATTTATTCTTAAAATAAACCAACATAAACCCCTTGGGAGGTGATGAAAAGGTGTGTTCTAGATTTTATTAGTAAAAGGTGAATTCCTAAGAAGTTCCTAATGGTTAAGTATTAAAATACTAATCTGCAGAGGAAAACAGAGTGGCTTGGCTGTCAACTTACAAAACTATTGAAAGACCCAGCAACAAAATGACAACTTTAATAGTGAACCAGAGAAAAAATTCCCTCACAAGTCTTTCAAAATTTTTCATATTTCAAAATCCACATAAAATATTGTTGTCTTACAACTGATGCTCATGTCTGCATCTTTCCATTAACACAGTGTACAGGGCAGTACTTTGGGTCTGTCTGTGCCTCCACTTCCTGAAACATAAGCTATCACCATCCATTTATGTCCCAGGCTTAATAAAACAAATAGAACCATAAAAGAGACTACCCATAAAAACTATTAAATGAGAAAGGGCCCTATGGAAGCCATACAATTCAAAGCAATTTTCAATATATTCTAATTTCACAAATGATTTTCAATCTAGATTTCCCCAAGTGCTGGCCCTACTGACTTATTTACATAAAGTTATTAAAATTACTATGATTCAAGTAGGATTACTGTAGAGTTTTATAATCTGAAGCTTTAACTAGAAACGCTTAACTTCTTTAAATTAATATTCAAACATAAGGAAAAAAATTGAGCTCAAAAGAAATAATTCCAAGGTTAACATTTCCATAAACTTAGTTAAAAACACTACAGCACAAAATCATTTTGTGTGATAGGTCTGATTTTCCCCACTAAAAATCACCTTCTCTTTCCACTGCGCCAGAAATAACTGCAGAGAAAATTAAAGGGTTATTAAAATTCCATCTGCGCTTATTTTCTTGATATGATGTTCTCAGCATAACATACTTGTTAAAATAGTCAATAAACACCAAAAGTCTAAATCACTTGCCTGTCTGCCAATTACATTTGCTAAGGCATTATGCAATTATCTAATCAAACATTTCTGCCAAAAAAAAAAAAGCAACCTACACTCCTATAGCTCTTAGAACTAAAGTAATTCTGTTCCATTCCCAGAGGAGACAATAAGCCCTCAGTCCTACTTAACTAGCTTATCACGGTTCCCTTCTACACTTTCCACATTTTCATTAGAAAATAACTATTTGAGCATGAAACCATCCAATCTATCCCTCCCTCACAGTACTGTCCTTAAAGATTCCATAGTCGTTTATCCAAGGCAACCAGTGATGGGTTCTCTGTTTCAACTTACCGGGGTCTGGCAAGTGTTTTGAGTACTGTAAATAAGCTGGTCATTATGTTCTACACCCTCCAACTTCCAAAGTGCCTGACAACGCTTACCAACATCCTTCTCTCTGTAACAGGAAATAGCCTGTCACAGAACTCACAGAAAAGCTGCTTGTATCCAAAGACTGCTAACACTTCACAGAGCCGCTGTTAGTGACTGCCAGACGCCTGTTGGGCTAGAACAGTATTTAAATTAACAGCGGGTCATCTATTCCTCTTTAATCTTGCTCTTCCTCTCAGAAAACCTAGATATCTACCTTAAAAATAAACAGAGCAGGAAGAAAAGTAAGTTACTCGAGCTCCACCACTTTGCCCCAGGACATCATTTCAGGACCTTTACATCACTGCTTAAACCACACCAGATCAGTTATATAAGACAATGAAGGCTTTAAAAGCATACAATTTTCTACTTAACCTCACCAAACATATTTTCAAGTTTTCAGTAAGAGCTAAAACGTTCTGTATTAAAATGATACTGGCGCACTCCATCAGAACTACGCTGCCCAAACCCACGTCACAAATATCCTGCACTTGGTAAATTTTAGGTGTGTTTCTGGTTACCTGCTGCGCTTTCTGCACCCTTTATCACCCAGTGATGCTCTCAAAGAGCATATACTTTCCATCCCTTAAAACGGCCTCGCACCCCACAAAAACACACCAGGCTTTGACGTTTCTTCACACTAACACGGGACCACTAATGCCACTGGGTGCTGTGGCTCTCAAAGAATCTCTTCAGCAGCTTCCCCTGGGACAGGGCGCTCAGCCGGGCTCTCAATCGGTAAGACGCTGCCAGCTGCCTCTGAAGAGGCAGCAGAGGCCGACTCCATACCGCATTGCTGCTGCTGCTGCTGCTGCTGCTGCTGCTGCTGCTGCTGCTGCTGCTGCTGCTGTCGCCAGCCGCCTACTTTCTCCGGCAGCTTCAGGAAGAAGGGGGACGAGCCCGGTGCCCCGCAGACCCCAACGGCCCCTTCGGCAGCACCGACGAGAAACCACTGCATTGCTCGCCTAGGAAGCTCCCGGGAGCCCACCAAAGGGTGGAGGAGCCACAGCCGAGGCGCCCGTCAGCCGGGCTAGGAAGGCGTCCGAAGTGCGACGGCCGGCGCCAAGGCAACCGCGAGGCGCCCCCTCGGGGAGGGGGTCCCCCGCCCGGGGGTCCGGCCAAGCCCTCCCGCCGCCGCCAGGGCCTCACCTGTCAGCAGCGCCCGGCGCTCGCCCGCAGCCGCGGCCGAGGGAGCCGCGGTCGCTCCGGCCGCTCCCGACGCGCGCCGCCCGCGGAGGTGCCGGGGCACCAGGTCGCATCCGTCCGCCGCGCCGGCCACCAGC